CGGCCGGGCTAACAGGGGCACACGACATACTACCCCAATCCTTCCCCCTGCCGTTCACAGCAACCCAACACCCCTGACACAAGCCCCGCCCCCCCCTGAACCCCCCGCCCCCCCTCAAGCAGCCCCGGACTGCCAAGCAAAACACCTGGCATCTGTATGAGAAGGGCGGCAATTTCACAGTGACTGCCAGGCGGTCAGCTGAGCCTCCGCCGCCACGCACACATATTGGTAATGTGTGTGTGTGTGTGTGTGTGTGTGTGTGCGTGAGGGCAGAGCGACACGGATGTGGTGTGTGTCTGTAAAGGCAGCTTGTGTGTGTGTGTTTGTGTGTGGCAGTAGAAACATATGAAAAGTATGTGTCAGAATAAGAACTTAACGCAGGGATATGAGTGTGTGTGTGACAGACAGCTCAGTCTGGACACACAAAACCACAGTTTGGCAGCTTCAGACCCTCTGGAAATATTTATAACTTTATATTCACATACACAACCACACTGGTGTGTGTTAGCTTGCATGCAGACACATTTGTACTGAATGCATGTCTAGTGTTGGACAAAGTGCGTACATATAATTTTATATGGTTCCAGTGTCTCGCTGACATTGATGCATTTCTCTGTTGCGTGCTCCCATTCCCTGGCTGAAGTTTTGTGTGTGTCAGAGGCCAGGGCTGGTGCTGAAAGCCTGATGGATGGGGTCCAGGGGTCACGGACTTCAGCTGTTGTTGGTCACATCACAATCCAGTGAACCGTTGTGCTACCCTTGGGTTAGCAGCAGTGTGCACAGCGCTTTTTGGTGTTTTTCATTGTCGAAGTGGTGAGAAAGCTGAGGGGGTCTCTGGGAGATATATAAAGGGAAAGATTCTGGAGGGTTTGGATGCCAGGCTGGTAGGGTGGGTAAGAGGGTACAGAGGCAGGGGTCTGACCAGCCTCCTCAACCCAGGAGGTGAATTAACAATGCAGTCCCCTCATCCTGGGTGTAAAACAGTGCTCTATTCAAGTGGAAGCCCACAGGGAACAGGCCTGCAGACCATTCAGTGGTCTCACCCTAAGGTTGCATCCACAGGTTTGAAAAAGATCACTGAATGTGTTCATGTTTTTGATTTCAAATTTAAAGAAAAAAAACCTCAAAAGTATCTCAAACAGCAGAGGAAGAAAACGCTGAGCGCAGCTCACTGAGAATAGGTTTGTATTTATGCTAACCGGCTGCACCCACAAGCGCTTACCACACTAAAGTGATACCCACTTCCGAAGCTGAATGTGCTGCAGATGGCATTCCAGCTGCCTGCTCCCTATGTATGACATGCTACCAGAGTCGGTGTAAAGAATAAAGGCATTTTGTGATATAGGAGTTCACAGTATATGAGGTTTCAGATGCTCAGTCGAACTGCCCCGAAAGGAGAGAAAAAAAATCCGGTTTTTCTCCGTAATGGGTTGTATGAACCTTTCATTTTTGCCACGACGATGTCATCAGCTCTGAAAGGGGCTGCTGTGCCAGGAGCGGCGGCCACGTTGCCATGGCGACAGTTGGTGTAAAAGATGGTGGTTGGTGGCTTGGCTGTGGTGTGTGGGCGAACGAGAAGCAGCCAGCGAGCCAACATTGCTTTTAGGGTAAATATGGTCTAAATTAACAGTGTTGCTGTATCGACTCGGCAAAATAAAAAATAAATAAATAAAAAAAGACATTAAGTAAAAATGGATGTCTTAAACACAACACAAGGTGAAACCAAGCAAGAATATTGCACAGGATATGAAATTATTTCCAATATCAGCCCAGCTGTGGAAATTCAATTTCACAGCTCATGAACAATATCAAACAAACATGCTGGCTGAAAGAGCACACTCCAACGTGAGTGATACTGTATCAAAAGGCTACACAGCAGACATAAAAGAGAATGAGGTGGGTGAAGGGCAGGCTAACGGGTAATGGTAATCCATAACTAGACCAATCTCCATATTCAGGCCGTTTAAACTGCACATTAGCCACCAGCTATTCCCATGGCCTGTCTCAGACCTGGAGTGGTGGTGGGGGCTGCTTTCTAATGAACTGTATAATTAAATAAGAAGCTCCGCTCGGCCTGGTCCGACTGCTCTCGACTTCAAGACCATGATGCCTTAACGAGGGCGGAATTGAAATGAATGACAGGAGGTGAAGGACAGAAGGACAGCGGGCTAATATGGTGGAATGTGCCTTTAATGAAGAGAATGAAGGGGAAAGGAGGAGGGGGGGGGCGAGAGGAGGCCGAGGTCACCGTGAGCGCTCACCCATATCTTTATTCTGCGATGCGAGGGCGTATAGTCCCCACACACACACTCTCTCTATCTACTGTACACACCCCGTTCCATCTTTCTCTCTGTCTCCTGCAGCTCTGTCTTTTTTTGGGGGAGCTGTGTGGGAGAGAGATAACTGTTTCAGCTCTCCACTTTGCCCTCCCCAGAGCACGCCTTTTGACTGACACATGCTAACAAGCTGAGGTGTTCGACAGGGGCGCCGGCAGAATAGGTAATGCTAAGAGAACATAACTGGGGAATTCTCCCACAACCCCCGTGGTTCATGACAATCGACCGGGGAACAGCGTGTGCTTTTGCATTTTTTTAAATTTATTTTTTTATTATTCGGCAGTAACTGCAACAAAAATCTGGGCTTATGTGTCAAATTAATTCACGAAGAAGAAAAAAAAAAAAAAACTCCTCATAACACAAGAGGAAAATGTAAGTGAACTTTTAAAAACAAAAAAAAAAAGGATCGATCAGAACTACCAAGGAGCTTTAAACAAAAGGAGGATGGGTGTAGAGACTAGACAAATAGTCTTAAGGAAGGGTACGGGCTTCCTTCAAATCAGAGGTCACGGAGCGGGAGAGGAAAAACGTCTTCGCACGGCCGGCAAGTGTGTGAGCTGACGTGAGGTGTGAAAATACGTCTGTCAGCACATCAACGGCCGTGACAGTGTCCAGTCTGAGTGTCTGTTTGTGTGTGTCATGTGATTGATTAAAGGGTGTCTTCCAGATGACCACGAACAAAGGGGAGACACTCATGACAACCACATAGTGTAACTGATTACATAAACTGCGGGCGGAAGAGTGATTTTCAGTGAGATGCGTGTTACAGCCAAGGGCTCCTGACGATGATTTCTAAGCTTTTGTTTAATGGACATTAAATGCAATTAATTCTTGGATCTTCAGTTGCTGTTGTTTATCGCCTTTGGCAGCGAACTGACCGCAAGCACTTGAAGGAGGCTGTTTACTGCGCAGTTATTCTTTAAAGTACAGTGAACAGCCAGTGAAGGCATCTTAAGTGCTGTAAGTTGCTTTGAGGGACGTGGCCCCTGGTGATCTACAGGAAACATTTCCACACTAGTTACTGCTGGAATCAAGGGGTTGTGGGTTTCATTCCACTGATGTTTTGACTTTTGATTAACGACTGCGGGGACCGGATTGGCTTGTGGGTGACGCAAAGATGCAGAAACCGATGCTTTCTAATGAGCTACTGTGTTTACTTCACTTAAGCACTGTACTTTTCATCTCCTCCGTGCGGCCACTTGTTTCTGTGCTCTTCTCTCTACAGTCGCCTTGACTTTTGGTCGAGCTTATCGAGAAGTGCGAAACTTTATTCTTGACCTTTGAAACAGTTGTTGACAAAAAATCTCAACTCAAGGTCCACTTACTAACTAGGAGTTCTCAGTTGAAGAAGTTGCTCATATGCCATCATGTGACCGGACAAGCCAAGTAAATGGACCTTTCGTTAAGAGTTTGTTGGTGTGTTTGTGAGCCCCTCTTTAGATGTCATCGGAGTGTCTTTGAATGCCTCTTGAAAGAGCGCTTTTAAAAATGTTCCGTGCTTGCAACTGTATTACCATGGCTTAATACCATTAGCATGCCATTATCATGGTATTATCAAGGCATGGCGATGCCTTTGATAACAGTAAAGCCACAGTACATGTGACACATAATGAACTAAAACATGCAAACAGTGTGAAATGTGACTAAAACGCTTCTCTCTAAAGGTGAAAATCTGCAATTTGCAGAGGAGCAGTTATGTTCTGAATATATAACAGTGGTAACAACTACTTGCAAATAAGGGGAAACCTCTCATCACATTTTTATATTGGATTTTGATTTGACTTCTGATTAGACGCACTGGCTTTGAATATGCTTTAAATGCGTTTAGTTCAAGGTATTAGCAAGAAAGGGGTCGTTTCTCCCGCTTTCGTCATCACAGGATGGTCACAGGATGCTTTCCCCCTTTCTTGTTTATCCAGCTTTCATCTATTCTGGTATGTGAAAAACATCGCAATGTTGTTTTGAATAGTACAACACGAACAGAAATGCGTGTTTGTCAGTGTTAGCTGGTCAGATAGCTCGGGCCTCGTCTGAAGTGGGACAGGGTCACTGATGTTTGCCCCGACTCCATGCGGAAAGAGTTCATTTGCTTAGAGTCGGTTTAAATAAAACAACTGATCAACCGTTTATCTGCCTGTGCTGGCTGCTTTGAATGGCTGGTCTATTTCAGCTCAGACAGGAGAGGGTCAAAGCAGTGCCAAGACTAGACGGATCAGCAGAGGCCCGGTCCCTGTTGGCCTTGATGCTAATTAAACACTAGCTGATAGAAAAAGCCTTCTCCACACTCTAATTATTCCCCATTTCAAGTCTAATTTCACCAATCAGTGCCATCTTTATTTCTGAGAGCAAATTGGGCAGTAATCATTTTCTAGTGGAGATTTCCCTGACTCTAATTGTTGAAGATGATTTAGTCATTATCAGAAGGCTGGCTACTCTTATCAGTCATCTCACTGGGCAAATTTATCTGGAGATTGTGCTCAGAGAAATTAAGCTGAATATTGTAATGAATTTTTAAAGTGATGACTCATGGTGTTGTCATAGTTTTGACCAACTGGTTAAATGAAACAGAAATGGGATGAAACGATTTTGTGCTGAACAGTTTGAGGTTTTTAAAACATTTAATGCAAAATATTTGTGTAAAAAAAAAAAAAAAAACGCATTTATTTGACAGCATGTTTAAATCAAACCACCAATGACACATTTAATGAGTTTTCAGTGCAGTGACTTTGATCAATGATATGTTAAAGGATAAAATGTTAAATTAAACTCTATTAGCTGCACAGTGCACGAGGAGTCACACAGCATGGTTTTAGTGTGCGTGTACGGATCAAGATATATACATGTTATTAGAGACACCACAAATAAATCACAGATAAACTCATTTGTAATATGGTTAAAAAATATACAGTAAATGTATCCTCCATGTCCATATCCAGATAATCAAAGAAAAAAGAAACCGAGGGTGTGATAGTAGGACGTGGAGGAAGTCCGAGCGACAGGACATCAAGGACAAAAACATACTTCGGGGGGGGGGGTTTACTTCCTTTTCCTGTGTTTCCTCTGTTATCACAGTCTGGATTGTTGAGGAGATCCCTCTTTATTTGCTTAAGTTTGATCAGCTTGTGCAAAATGCCAGTCAGCACTGCCTTCATGATGAGCTGATTCTATACAACATATGGCACCGAGTTTACTCTATATATCCATGTCATTAATGATATTTCCCTTAATTTCATTTCATTTTTCCATCATAGAATTTATGTCAAAATAAGATCCCGTTAGTATAATCTGTACTTGTGTATATCGGCACATTTGTAAATATACACAAGCAGTTGCAAACATGTATATATATGTACACCCACGAGTCCTTAATGCTTGTTAAATCTGCCTTGGCCTGTGGAGACAGTTATGACCAGATGGTTGTGAAAATAAGCCTCATTTTAGCCTCTCAGCCTGGTCACTTATTGCCCTCAGTGTTCCTGATCAAATAAATTAATATGGCAAAATCACACTTATCCACATTGGCAGCCTGTGTGACTGTCTGATATTATGTCTCACAAATCTGGACGCACATGAATTCTGAGCTATTTATATATTTGTGTGGAGTTCACCTGATGTTTAGAGGGGGCTACCTTTTACACTGCACCTATCACCGGGTTCTTCCGTCTTGGGTCGGGCTGTCTTTCGTCTCTGTAGGCGTAGCGCTCAGGGCTGGTGTAGCGCTCCCCGCCGACGGGCTGCCTCTCCAGGCTGGTGTAGCGGCCTGCTCGCCCTCCGGCGGCTTCGTAGTAGTGCCGCCCTCTGTGGCCTGCGGTGGGGGAAGGGGGGACGTCCTGCCTTACCATGGTGCGGTGCTGCTGTCCCATGTGGGGAGACGAGGGGTAGTAGCGTGGATTGCTGGACGCCTGCTGGGAGTGGGTGCCCGACTGGGGGAGTGGTACACGGCCGGGGTGGCTGGAAATGAGAGGGTCTTGGTAGTGGATGGGGTAGGGGGCTGACTCTCTTGGCATGGGTCTGGAGTGGGTGGGGTAATCATATGGATCCCTCCTGAAAGAGAAATGAAGTTTTCTGTGAGAAATTCCAAAATAGTGATTCTACCTCGACCAACTGTACCTGGAGTGAATCTGTAGGACGGACACTCAAATGATCACACACGTATATATGTATTGAGAGTATAGAGGAAGACAATATTCAATACTGGTATAAACTGGTTTGGAGCAGAGGACGCGCCAGAGATTTGGCCCTCCCTTGCGGTAAGCCTCCTCCTGTTATTCAGTTTACGTGGCGAGGCTGTGGCCTTGGCAGGATCGAGTTGTGGGGGGAACGTGGATGGAGAGATGCCAAGAGATAACAGCAAATGCCTCAGTAAGCATATATGAGGTTGTGTGAGTGTGTGTAGGAATGTGTGTGTGTGTGTGTGTGTGTATGTGTGTGTGTGTCCCAGGGGTCTGCAGTAACGAGGCAGCCAGCTGGAAGTCTCCGGTTGCCTCCCACTAGCTTTTGGGTGATTAGGGGCTAAACCCCTGGGTAAGGCGACACGCGGGCCTCAGGGTGACGGTGGGAGAAAGAGAGAGAGAGAGAGAGGAACTGAAAAAGAGAGGGAACTAGACAGACAGAGAGAGAGAGGGGAAGAGGGGAAGAGAAAAAGAGAGAGAGAGGGGAGAAAAGAAAAGGGAGGGCTGCTCACCTTTCATAGGCCCATTCAAATGCTTTCCATCTTATGTGCTGTTTCCAGTGCGGAGTGACACATAAGTCGAGCTACAGCAAGTAAGTAAATCTACAAGCCAGGTCTTCATGGGCCTGGCTGTAAGGGAAACTCTGCTATTTTTAAAAGTGGTGATCTGCGAGAGCCTAGTCAACATCATAAATGATCACTTTTGGCATCAAGTCTCTTCCACACAGAAAACTGAGCATGCAAACTTTTTTTTTTTTTTTTTGTTTCAACCACATCACTACCGTCTGCTACCTTCCATCACTACCCATAATCACCCTGGCCAGATGTTTAAAAAGTCACCTTAAACATAGAGTAAAACTGCATAAATTAGAAATGTGATATATATAACATAACAAATATCATGCACCAGACAGATACAGATACACAGCACAATGTAAGCAATGTTCACCTGCAGCTCAGTAATCATGTTTCTCGATGGCTTTCTTGTATACATAACTGAGAAGAAAGCAGACTGCAACGTGGTTATTTAAGGGTATGTAAATGCACGTTTACTGGTACAGTGCTGTTGTTGGTTGGAACACGGCCTTAACAGCAAATGCGGAACTAGCTTCGGTTCAAATTGGTGTAATGCTACATCAATCAGCAGCAGAGAGCGGCAAACAGATTTAGACATTTGCTTCCCACCCGTCAACAAAGACTCCCACTGTAGTTATTACACAGAAGCCTTGAGCTTATAGCCTCTCCCTTGTTCTGCAATCATATCCGTGCGTCTCCTCTGTCCGGTCCCCCGAGTCGAGATCAGCACCTGTTGACTGGCCAATTAGAATGACTCACTCACCACAGATTAGGTGGCGCACACACAGCTCGGTTATGTGTGTGTGTCTGTGCTTGTGCATGAGCAGACTTCCCTTGAGGATATTCATGGACTGTGGTGATGTGGATTTCTATATGCGTGTGTGTCCCACATATCAGTGTGTAGCAGAGTGTGTTTTCTGTAGGCTGGGAGGCCTGACCACCCAAACACACAGCGCCCGGGCAGGATACACAGGTGGTCCCGAGAATGAACAGCACTGCCTTGTCAGTCAGCGGAGCAGGAAAGACGGATGCACACGCACAGATAGACATACACACATGTATTGCCTGGACTTGAGATAAGGAGGAAGAAGCAGAAAAGATAAAAAAAAAAATTAAAAAAAAAAGGAATCTGAGAGGTAGAAAGAGAACAGAGAGAAATTTCATATGAAATTAAGACATAAGGACAGAGGCTGGTATGGAGGGATGTCTGGGCAAAAACAATATATTTCTCCCTGTAAAGCTCAGCGAGGTCTGGAAAGAGCAGGAGAGAGAAAGCGAGACGAAGGTCAACCTCCTCATTAATCCAGATTAAATGGTGAAGGCCACCAGGGGAGGCAAAGAGAAGGAAAGAAAGAGGGATGGAGTGATATAGGGGATAGAGGAGGGGGAACACCTGGGTCCTTAGCCCTCTCAGGGCCACCCAAACAGACAGGAACCTCCGCTGGCTTCCCCTTTCTTCTCTTATCAGTCTCCTCATTTTGCCCTCTCTCGGCTTCATCTTCAATTTCCACATTGTTCGCCACTTGAATATTCATCTCCCTCTCCTTCTCCATCACCTTTGTGACCTCTCCACTTAATATCTATTTATCACTTCCTTATGCACTCTCCAATTTAAATGCCAACTCCTCTTTTCCTTCTTTCTGATCTACAGCATTATGTTAGCTTCCCCATGGCAAAGCAGTAATATGAGCAGCAATAAATTTAATATCTTGTGCACAGTTGTTCAGACTGATGGATGCAAATTGCAGAAAAAAACAGACTTGGTTTGACCTATTGAAAACAACCTTAAATACTTTCTTTCTTCAATTTCCTGGATGACTAAGGGTTAAACCAAGGGGGATAAATTCCTTTAGTGCGCTGATACCCAGGTCTGGATGACCTTTGACCCTGCCATGACATGGCAAAGTAGCCTCGGTCTAGTAGCTGTGTATGGGCTGTGGGGTTGCCATTGTTTTGCCTGCTCATATGGGAGTATTTATGTTTCGTCAGGGAGGCGAGTGACTGACAGTTTAAATGTGTTTGCAGGAGGAGAAGAAGGGGAGTGAGTATCCTACATGTGTGTGTGTGTGTGTGTGTGTGTGTGTGTGTGTGTGTGTGTGTGTGTGTTTTCTTTTGGACATAGACTTAACCTCATTTTCCCACCCAACTTAAAATATGCAATAATATTGGAGAAAAAAAACATAGGGAAGTTCTGAGATATTGTGGGTAATAGCATGACTGCCTGCAACCATATGAGAGTATGCATTTGTGTGTGTGTGTGTGTGTGTGTGTGTGTGTGTGTGTGTGTGTCCGACCAAGCAGCTGGGGGATTAGGGGAGTCCATGGGCCTCAGTGACCCAAAGGGAGTTCCTCATCCCTGGGTCACACAGCTGGCTTCAGCTTGGTCGGGAGATGGAGGGAAGTGCATGTGTTTAGTCTGTGTGTGTTTCTGCGGGCCTCTGCCTTTGCTAACCTAACATTCCCTCAAACCATGTTGAATGCTGGCAGTATTTGATTTTTACATAAATTCTGATTTAATTTGGCGGAGTTGAATAAAACATTTCCAGTATTTGAGTCCCTCTGTGAGTAAGAGTGCGAGCCAGAGAAGAGTGCATGGCTGTGTTTGTATACGGTAAGTGTCAGAATGAGATCTGTGTTTACTTGTTAACTTACGAAACTTCATCAGCGAGCTTGTGTGATACGTACCCTGAGAGTGTGGGAAAGAGAGGAGGACTGAGCGGGAGAGAGAAATACAAACACACAAAAGGAACACAATGACAAGAAACAGACGTTAAAAGAAGGTAAACAGAAAGACAAAACGAAGGACAAAGAACGGAGAGAATGATGTAATCGAGTTTTTCCATGTATTAACCCGGATGATTACCTGTCTGCCACTAGAAGCACAACATTTAAGTTACTTTTCCCCCAGCGACTGTGTGGAAATTTCCTCCAGAGCTGTTACTTCTGATGTTCAAAAAAACATGCCAAACATGGCAGATTCCCGCCGGATTAAAATGTTGGTTGCCGTCGGTAATGACAATTAAAGGGGCTGAGCCAGTACGGCTAATCTAGTTTGAAAAGAGCTTATGACAACAAGAGACATGCAGACAGTAGACGTGTTTTCATTCAGCTGTCAGCAGACTTTTACGCACATTTTTGAAATGTCAAAATAAAAAATCTAATGCAAATGAGATGTTTCTGATGTTGAAACAAATAAATAGATGGAAATGAATGTGAAAAGAAGAAAAATGGAAGGACTTTCAAGAAGAAATGAATACTTGGTAGGCTGGTTTTCCCTCTGTTATTATTTAATGTGCTAGTGATATTGTAATAGAGCAATTACTAATAAAGCCACAATTTGAAAACACAGACATGGGAGTGACAGCGGGTATGATATTACTGGGAAGAGATCATTTACAGATAACATTTCACTAAGTGCGATGTTTTGCAATGAAAATGAACAATTTGTCTACATTATTATTCACCAGCAAATGCATTTCCATCCCTATTTTCTCATCAAATTTTTTTTTCAAGGAAGTGTATAAAACATTTACAGCAGATATGTTATTGAATTTTCCTGTTTGCACTACATCTTTAAATTTGATGCTTCCGTGAACTGCAAAAAAATCTGGTGATGTCAAGAAAAAGAGAGGCAGACAGAAGAAAAAGGACGAGCCATGTTTGGCAGGAGACAGGCAGGGAGACAGATGCAGACACCGTCTGTCCCTCTGAGGTCTATATGCAGCAGCAGTGCAGGGTGTGATGTGAACCACAGGGACCAACCAGAGTGGAAAGCTGTAATGACACGCCGTGTAATACATCTGACTCACACGTCGAGAACATCAGCACCATATACCACACTCCCAACCACCCTCTGAAAGTGTGTGAATTTCGTGTGTGTGTGTATGTGTGTGTGTGTGTGCTGAGTGCAAATAACAGACTCAATATTACAGCCATATTTATATGCATGTGAATGTGCGTTGGGAGTGTACATGATTACATACTCAGCAGTGAACCAAAAATGTGTGTGTATCCATCTGGGACTGTGAGAGTGTGTGTTGCCATTTAGGCATAGCTTACGCCGTATGACAGTGAAGAATATGGGTGTATGGTGATAGCGTGGGAGATAGGGGGTGCTGGTGGTGGTGGTGGTGGTGGTGGGGGTATGCTGCACCTGCCCCTAGGAAACGGAAGGAGGAAATTAGCAACCCCCATCGCCCCCTCCGCGCCAGCTACCAATCCCTTATTAGACCCCCACACTCACTATCCTGGTCCCCTAAAAAATACCCCAGGCGCACATAAGTGCTTTACACTAAAC